CTCCCTCCTTCCCTCCGTCCCTCCTCCCTGCTCCCTCCCCCCTCCTCCTCCCTCCCTCCCTCTCAAGCAACTCTGGCCCGAGCGGGGGCGGGGGGGGTACTGGGTGGTCCTTACACCATACGCCCTCCTTGTCACATTTTGTGCGTTCCTACTTGGCCAGTCCTCGCGCCGCCTCGTGGTGCTTGGGGGACAGCACGCCACCCGCGCCTAGTGCGCAGGCGCTCGTGCTTGACGAAAGCGAGGAAGTCTTTTCCGACGTTCGAGAGGAGCATTCCGACTCACAGGGGAGGGTGCTTCGGTGGTCTGGCCCTTTTACGGGTCGGCACGGCCAGGAGGGTTCCTTGCGTGGGAGCCCCTGGTGACGCCCCACACCCTGGTCTGGACAGGCACAGATCATCGGCGTTATGGATCCTGATCTCTTGGACAACTGGGAGGCATCAGACGTCGACATCAGTGTACTGGAACAGCACCATGCTCAAGCTCTGCGGAAACTAGGGGTCAGCGTGCGAGAACGAGATGTACTTAACCTGTTTGGGTCAGCCCTTGCAGCGGTGCCGGCTGTGGTTGTGGTATCCTGCGTCGTCCGCCGCTCTCGTTTCGCGATGACCTCGATTGTCTCTTGCGTCGATACCTTGGTCAGAGGCAGATCGACGCTACGACCCGCAGGCTTCTCTACGACCAGCTCATATATGAGGCGCTCCATGGTCAGCTTCCGAACGCAACGATCATAGAGATTGCACGGCGCACGGACTGCATGCGGATCGCCGCGGTGCCCAGTTTCACGGCTTCACTACGCCCGATCCCGAATTACAGACCCATGGAAAGGACTACGCACAGTAACCCAACGGCGGCCTTGCGCCCGCTCGGCCACGGGAGTGATTTGGTCATGCGAGGCACTCAGGATGGGCCGTTTCAGCTTCGTAACTATTTAGAGCGAGACGGAAGTTTCAAATTAGAAGCACTGGTTTATCGAGCCACTGCATGGCGCTGGCATGTTGCTTTCACAGCTCAATGGGACGGTTCCATGTGCCACTCCTGCGCAGTTGCTGTCTGCAAGGCTATGGGAGCCGCTGCCATGCCGAGGGAGCCAGCGCCTTTCCTTTTACGCAATCACGAGTTTCGTCGCATGAGTCATTGGTCAGGACCTTACGCCTCATACTGGGATCATGCCATGGATCATCAGATGGAGCGAGTTTTGGACAAGCAGCTCGCAGCAGTCAGCGCGGACACGGTCGTCATCAATAGTGCCGACGAGCTTGCGAGACGCATCCATCCGAGGGCCAAACTCAATGCCGCTGTCATGTGGATGTTTGCGGAGCGCTGCACATTCTCTGCTACAGAGCCGACATCGGGTGCTGAGACGGAGGCTCAATAAATTTGGGCTCACGTTGTCGTTACCTTTTGTTCGGGTATGGTGCTCTTGCAGTTCGGCTGGCTTCAATAAGTTGGGTCATCTGCGCTGCCATGTGTTCAGCGATCCTTTTGCAATTTGGGCTCTCTTCAGCGCTGTGCTGGCGCCGTCATTTACTTTGTGGTCGTCTCCCACAGCCGCCTGGGGAGGCTATTTCAATTCAAGTTTTGATTGGTCTCAGTGGGTGAGATCAATCCTTTCAGTGCATTGGTGGGCATGAAGGAAAGAAAGTGGCCGCTGTTTGGGCCAATGAAGCAGGGAACGGGGCTGGCGATCTCTGTTTGGAGCCTCTTGCTGTTGCATGTGGAATTTGAGGTTGCCCTTTTGGGCCGAATCGAGTTGGTCCTTTCCCAGTTTTGTTGGTTTGCTCACTGTGTGTTCGCTGAGGTATTCATCCAAAGTCTGTTGCTCGGAGTCTTCTTGTGGTATCACTGGCGTCTCCATCGGCGACATCATGTTGGGCTTCTCGCTCGTTTGCACTTCCTCATCTGATCCGTGCAGTTCCTGTTCGAAGTCAGGGGAGGCCGATTTGCTTTGACATGACACCGTCATATTGCCATCCATCCATCCTCCTCCCTCCCTCCCTCCCTCCCTTCCTCCTCCCTCCTCCCTCCTCCCTCCTCCCTCCCTCACACCCTCACACCCTCACACCCTCCCTCCCACCTCGTTCCCTCCCTGTCTTGTCTTCCCTCCCTCTCCCTTCCTTCCCTCCCTCCCTCCTCCCTCTTCCCTCCTCCCTCCCTCCGCCCTTTCTCTCTCCTCCCTCCTCCTTCCCTCCTCCTTCCCTCCTCCTTCCGCCTTCCCCCTCTCCCTCATCCCTCATCCCCCCTCCGCTCTCCCTTCTCATTCCTCCCTCCTCTTTCCCTGCTCCCTCCTCCCTCCTCGTTCCTCATTCCTCGTTCCTCGTTCCTCGCTCCTCGTTCCTCCCGCC